ACATTTTGTCCGACGCCTGCTGCGAATTGTACTTTCACTTGACAATTTGTCCCGCCTGGCGGACACAAAATTGCATCACGACCGGATGTGCTTAAAATTGCATCATTCGTGGGACAAAAAAAGTCCCATGACAATTAGTGTGTAGAAATGTGGCATCCACGAGAGCTATTTCAGCGTGACTCTCAAGTAGAATGAAACTGTCATGTTTAATGTGACAGTGACATCATTTACTTTTCACATTTGTTAGAAAGTGAAGCATGTGGTATGTGGTATCACATTCACATTGAAACAAACGTGACGCTTGATGGTATCACGTCCTACACATTGACAATGCCCTGACGTGGTCTCACATTCAAGTGAGTATTCAAGTGAACGTGACAGTTAAGTTCCTGATTGATGTCTCACTCAAACATCAGTTCTCACGTTAAAACGAATTCACTCTTAAAATTTAAAAAAAAGTAGCTTAAAATGAAAATGCTCTCATAGGTCTCTCCGTACTGGCGTGGTGAACATCCCCAGAAAATGTCAGCCAGCTTGATGGTTTAAGTTTCAGGAGCAGGGGGAAGGTAGGAGATTCCGGAAATTACCGGCTGAGGCCCGCGCGTTTCGAATTGGGGCTCGGGGGTTCTTGTGTGTTTTAGATGGGACACTACAAGAAATTCGAGAAGAAATTCTAAGAGCAAATATTTTAAAAACATCTTATTTTTTCATTTTGGGGTTGCTATCCCCCTTTTAAGTGTCTTGCCTTGCACTATTCTGTGTTTTCAAAACAAGGTACCATCTGCAAAGGCTTGATCTTCAAAGTGCCGTCTTTCTCCCTTAATTTTTAAGTACAAATTTTGTACGAGACATCAAAGTTTTTAGTGCACACGAATTTTTCGTATTAATTTGTACGCGGTTTCGTACAAAAATAAGGAAATATGTGCTGTTTTTCGTACTAAAATTGTACGAAAAGTTCATGTGCTCAAAAAACTGTGATGTCTCGTACGAAATAGTGCCGATCTGCACAGGTGCAGCCGTGCTCCGCGCCCCGTGCAGCGCTCCAGAGTGCCCTGCTGCGCGTGTCCCTGCGCATGGACGCGGCCACGGCCGGCGTCATTCCGCACCTCCTCGTCGTGAGCGTCGTGCTGCCGCTGCTCAGCACCTTCGAGGCGCGTCAACACTTCACCCTTTCTCAAGACAGAACTGTCCCTGCACACACTAGTAAATGTTATGTACATTTTAGTACGAGACATCACAGTTTTTCGTGCACACGAACACTTCACCCTGCCCCATGTATCCGTACACACTTGAAAACACTCTTAATGTCTTACCATGAATTTAGATGTTAAATGTTAATCGTATGTTTCGGCGAATTCGGCGCACGCATAATTCAAAGTAATATTTCTTCGTAATACGAATCTTTTCAGCTTTTTCATTGTAAGATACAAAGGAAAACCTTCGTAATACGAAGAAAAACCACCTCCGTATTATGCTCGCGGAATTTCCTTCGTATTATGGGAAATTTCTTCGTAAGACATTTAGAGTGAATGCTATGTACAATTTTGTAAGAGACGTCACAGTTTTTCGTGCTCACGAAGTTTGTCATACAAATTTTGTACGAAAAACTTCACATATTTCCCGATTTTTATACCAGCCTAATCGCGTACAAAGTTGTGCGAAAATTTCGTGTGCCCAAAAAACCTGTGATGTCTCGTACAAAATTTGTACAAAAACATTCAGTGTGTCTCCTCTTAGACTCGTACTCTGATCTTTTGTTTGATAATGCGTAGACGATTGTGCGCATTCATAAGCGTACATTCTCATCCTTCAATCGACATGTTATCAATATTCAGTGACGTTTGAGCGCATCTTTAGAATTTCAGCAAGAAGTTTATTAGCTTTGTCAAGGCAAAATTAATAATAATGTTTCCAAAACAAATAAAAATGTCAATGCCCTTATTAATGCCTATAAACGGCAATATGTTAATAAACGAAAAGTCAGTGCGAGTCTGACAAGGGAAGTGCCCCAGGTGTTACATCCAGATTTTGATCATAATTTGGGGATCTCTTCTACTATACAATAGACGAATTTTCCGCATAAAAGTTGCTGCTGAGTTATATTACAACATTTGTTATCGAGATCCCCAAATTATGATCAAAATCTGGATGTAACACCTGGGGCACTTCCCTTGTGAGAGTAACATTTTTATTTGCTTTGGAAACATTTCGTTTTGACCAATGTGTTCATAGCTTCTTAACTAATTCTACACTGAAAAAGCCTTATGGTGAATATTTACCATATTATGGTGAAAATTTTCCATATTATGATGGTGCGGGACTTCGTAACTTAACAGTTCAAAATTCATTGAACCTTACAGATATTTTGTCGAATTTCTTTTGTATTATGGAAAAATCTCCGCCGTAATATGTTGGTGCAGCCTTTCACCGTAATACATACATTAAGAGCGTACTTATACGCAGAAATGCCAATGTCAACTGATGAAATGTCGATTGGCGAGTGTAACATGCCAACCCTGTGCCTGTGAGGGCTTTGCCTGGCTGCGTGCGACGCGTGCGACCGAGGGAGGGGCTGCTTGCAGATGATGGCCAACGGGAGGCAGGCCGACTTCTTCTCCATCATCACGGCCCCGCTCATCCTGATGGCGTTCGTCCCGCTGTGCGAGGTCGGCGACTGGGTGGCCGCCGAGCAGCAGAGGGCGCGGTTCCGCGCCTACGCCGCGCCCTGGACTGAGGTGCACTCTGGAAAACGTGACGGCATTTAGTGAGGGACTTGGAAATGAGGTAGACGAAACGACTGGCCAAGGACGGATCCAGCTAGACGGTTCCAGCGCAGGGCGATGCCGCGAAACTTACAGGCTGACCAGGCTAAAGAGCGACTTTCGTGGGGCAAACAACTTCGACAAAATTTGTAAACCGTTATTTCGCGTTTTAAGGAAAATGTACACCAAAATTCAAAAGTTATTTGACTACATTCCAAGCGGCCTCGCCACGGCTTGACGATATGACTTGTTCAGGCCTGTCTGTTCCAGGAGTCAGTCAGCCAGAGGCGACTCCGCCTGGGCCTCATGGTGGCCGTGGACGCGGGCGGCACGCGGCTCAGGGGTCACTGGGTGGGCGTCTTGGACAGGCCCACCTGTGGCCATGCTTTGCGGCTGTGGTTCAGGTTCCTGCAAGTGCTCGTCAACGTGTAAAGGACGTCTCAACTCGACTCCACACTACGCAGCTGACGGCCGTTTCAGAATTCCGAGAAGACCTCTCAGAATAGCATATACTTCACCTTGCTACGCAGAAAAACGTCTAGACGTTAGATCAGCTGATCTTCGTTCTTCTTCACTCCATCGGCACAGTTGTTCTACGAGTGTGACTTAATGTGCGTTAGAATGTGAAATTTGGCACATTCTTTAGAATGCGAATTTCAGAATTGTGAATCTCAATCCACATTCAAACGAATGTGGCATGACGAAATTCACATTCTTGCGCATGTGACGTCACATTCGTTCAGACAGCTGCCACGCGGTGAAGAGGACCCGTACTGTAAATCAACCAACTCAGTTCGGAACCTAATCCGAATTCTTTTGGAGTAAAGTCAAAGGTTGCTAGCTGAATGTTGTTGTGTACGTGTTCACCATCTCTTCTGACGGCTCGAAGTAATAAAACAATGTCTGACGTGTTGACTGATTAGGACGTGCCTGGATTTGCACGTAAGTTTGCGATTGAAGCACCTGTGTCAAGTTGGTACGTAGGGAACTCTTTTCTATTGACAGTAGTCACCTGCGCCGTGAAAAGTGTAAATCGACACAGAAAACCTAATCATTGGTAAAAAAGATTCCACTAATAGTGCGACGACCACGAAAAATAGCAAAACTAGCAGAATCGAGCTCCGGTAATTCCTGCACACTGAATTATCCCTTGGTACATTCCTTGTTCCACGAAGTCATGCAATTTTAATCACATCCGATGCACACACTTGCGCCTGAAGGAGGCGTCCACTGTTAAAAATCCACTGTAATATTACAACACAATCACCTACAGTAATGCTGTTAAATAACAACCGTATTGTTTTGTATCTGATCGGGAAACCCATCCAGAAACAGCACTTTCGTTTCATAACAACTTCCCTGTCAAGTAACAATGATGTAATCGTGATTCAAAACAGTCGTGTTGTCGTTGAACAGGTTTCATGTTTAGAAACTGCCTTTTGCAATCTTAAAACATAAATTGTTGTCGGGTTACAAGGGTCTTGTTTAATAACAGCACGATGAAATCAACACAAATGTTGGGAAGACATCGTCGAAGACTCCAAAGAAGTATTGTTTTATTACAATCGAACTGTCAGAAAACAGCACCGAGGCCTACAACATGCTTGTAATAAAACAAGTCGTGTTGCTATCAAACTTAACAGCATAAGTGCTGTTAAGGGGAGGTTCTGGTGAAAATGCTATTTTCTCCTAAATAGGTCCCGCTGTGAAAATTAGTTAAAAATTTGATGTCTTTCCAAGTAATTAATAAAAATTTTCATTGGGGACTCACATTCTATGCTCTGAACCCAGTTGCAGAGCCATTTTCTCCTATTTAGGCTGTAACTTTAAAAATCTTCTTGCGCATACTATTTTGTCGGAAAAGTTTGGCCTTGGCATTTTTCACTTCTTCGATTCATTTTTGAAAGATGCCGGCATGCACAACTCAAAATGTAAATAACATTTTCATTCGCAAGCTTTCTAACCAATCATGTCACTATAATTGAGCAAAAATGTACAAAATAGACAAATTTTAGGGACTTTTCAGCTTAAAAAGCTTACAGTTAATAATATAATGGAAATTTTGAGCTATGCATGCCGGAATTTTTTGAAAATGAATCGAAGAAGTGAAAAATGTGAAGGTCAACCTTTTACGACAAAATAGTATGCGCAAGGAGATTTTTTAAGATACAGCCAAAGTAGGCTCAAAAAGACTCTTCGACTGGGTTCAGAGCCTGGCATGTGCCTTCAAAAATCAAATTTTAGTCTCCTCAAAGAAAGATCTTATATTCCGAACAAATTATGACACTGGGATCCATTTGGGAAATGGCAAGATTTTCACCAGAACCTCCCCTTAATTTAAAGCACTTTTTTTAACAGTGTCTGACTAATTTTACATGAAGTTTACAACGTGCAGCAGTATATGAGTTTCTTTAAATTTATTTAAATTTCTCAAAAGAAGACGCAACCAAATAGACTGGCTTAGGCGCTGACGGTGTTGATGCCGTTGACTGCGCCGTCGGCGGCGAGGTTGGTGACGTCGGCGGCGAGGCCAAGGCCGACTCCGGCGGCAGACCTGCCGGCGTTGACGCCGACGTTGGCGAGTTCGACGCCGGAGTTGACGGCGGTCTGGGCGGTGTTGAGGCCGAGGTCGGCCACCTGCTTGCCGGCGGCGATGCCGGCCTTGCCGATGCTGACGCCGGTGTCCAGGCCGATCTGGCCGAGGTCGATGCCCTTGTTGGCGATCTTCTCGGCGGTGCCGACGGCGCTGCGGCTGATGTCGCCGGCGAGGCCGGCGATGTTGCCCAGGCCAACGGCAGAGGCCGCGGACTCGGCGAAGTTGATGCCGCTGCGGGCGAGGTTGGCGCCGGTGGCGGTGGCCTTGCGGCTGACGTCGATGCCGGCCTCGGCCACGCGGTCGCCAGCGTTGAGCACGGCTCCGGCTCCCTTGACGCCGAGGTCGGCGGCGTTGCGGCCCAGGTCCAGGGCACCGGTGGCGGCCTTCTGTCCCAGGGCGAGGCCACCGCGAGCGGCGCCGGTGGCAGCGTCCACGACGGAGCTGGTGGCGCTGAGACCAGCCAGGGCTGCCCTGCGACCGGCCTCCACTCCAGAGCGGGCGATGTTCCAGGCGAAGCCCAGAGCGCGGCGCTCGCGAGGCAGGACGCTCGCCTGCAAAGGACTCAAATTACGTCAGGCTGACCCCAGTAATGACGCAACTGACTAAAATTGTGTGCGATTGCATGCAAGGGGTCTCCCACAACCTGTGTCCCACGAGTTATCAATTTCAAGCTCATTCGACGGTGATACAGTTATCCCGTAATACACTTCGTCCAGTAATCACTGATAATCACATACCAAAACTAGACGCTGTTATTATAGGTGTTTCGGTTTCTTTTTTCGGACTAAAACAAGCAATGACAAAAATGGAAGAGTTTTTTTTTTAGAATTTTCGTAGGTTATTACTGGTGATCCTAATCAGTGACTGTGTGTACACTTTTGAGCTAAGGTGGACCCCTCGATTTTGTTCCCTCTTGGTGACAGTTTTCCCGACGCCTACTGCAAACGCGACCGAACGCGACTGCCTGATCTGATTTGTTCATCCCGAACCCACTATTTGACAGTAAGACGCACTGGAGGATTATTTTGGACAAAGTACCTTAATCCACCCTGATAAAATGTTTTCTGATATAAGAACCTAATGCTTGGAAATTGTGTCCAGGGAGTAAATTGTCCTTGTTGCAAGCAGTTTTGGTTTTTCAGGATATGTTTTTCCAGGGTAAGGACCATGAATCATGGACTGCCAGACGCGAGACGCAGAGTTGGTTACGATTTTGAGACTTACTAGCCGCACATTCACTACTGTTGCATTGTTACGGACCATTTGAAATCTTACTCAACACATATTGTGAGTGCATGGTGTGCTTTGATGTAATCGATTAAGTAAGACTTTTGTTTCTCATCTTGTTAGGGTTCGAATTTTTTTCTTCGGGAACTAAAATGAAGCAACGCGCTACCAGTTTTTTTTTCTGTTTTGAAAATGTCTGTTTAGCTACTATTGACTTATTAAAACTCAAGCGGCTGCGTTTACCTGGCACGCGACGGCCACCAGAAGGACTGCAACGGCGACGAACTTCATCTTCAATGAGCTCTACACAAGAACACGCTTTCTCAAGGACTTACCTGTCCCTATATAGGGCTCAGCGGTGCGAAGCAAATGCCGTCACAGGTGTGGCGTGAAGGATTGTGATGACACAAGTGCCAATGGCATCCTCCCTTCGCCCGGTAACTGTATTACGCATGAAACCAGCAAGTCTGCTGCAAGATGTGTATGAGGCATTTTTTTTAAGAAGTCCGATCGTGGAACACGACCGATGCCGATTTCCTCCATTTTTTGGTCAAAGGTAGTCCTTGTGGGTCTTAGAAAGGCCACAAATTTTTTGGGCCGAAATATGCACCAATCAGATTCTATGGGCAATTTTCGTTTTCTCTGACAACTTTTCACATAATATGGCCAAAATTGAAAAATCACCTTTCTGAGGCCTCTATGCACTCGATTGAGCTCACTGTAAAAAAAATTCTGAAATTTCAGTACAATTTGTTCAGACTTTGCAGTCTGAATCGGTAATTCAGAAAGTTGCTTTGAATTTTCAGACTAGGAACTCTGAAGTTTGAGATCACACCGGTTAGTCTGAATTTTAAGCAGAAGGTCTGAAAATTCTGATAAAGTTTTCAGACTTGTCATCCTGAAACCTGTTTTCATAATTTTGGTATGAAAATTTTGACAGATTGTCTACTAATCAAGTCTAGGCGTAAGGCGTTGTATAAATTTATCGGAAATAATAATGTACACCCGTGCTTCACGCAGATTCGTCTGTGTACGATAGATTAACCGTAAGAGTTGTCCGAACTTGCATTCTGGACTTGCCGAAAGGAGCTGGTATCCTCTGAAGAGAGTCACGCGGCACGGCTTCCCCGGCCGCCAGGCAGCGCTCGTAGCGCAGTGGTACTGAGCTCGTCTCGTAACCAAAAAGTCCCGGTTCGAACCCGGGCCGAAGCGAACAAATGAAAAGTGGAAAAGAGGTACCGTCACACGTTGGTGGTTCATATTGTTCTCTTGTTGATTTCTTTCTCTTTGATTTATAGATGGCACTTTTATTTAATATTTCAGAGTAGCAGTCTGAAAATATTTTTCAGACAAGAAGTCTGAATTTGGAATTCAGACAGAATGGTCTGAATAATTACTCTGAATTTTCAGACCACTAGTCTGTTTAAAAACTTCAGACTAAAATTATGAAATTTCAGTAATACTTTTTTTACAGTGCTCAAAATGTGGAATCTTATGTAAAATCACGCGAGGAACACGAATCCGGTGCCCGTTTGTTGATAGGACAACCCAAACAGATGTTATGACTGTTTTTCAGGTTTTGTAGTGGTTTTTACTTTTCTTGGGGTTTTGGTGTTCGGCATCGATTTTCACCAATCCGATGAGTGGATTTTATAGATAAAGGACCAATCTATCATACTACGAGATAAAAAGTTTGTGTACGCCGCGTGAAAAGCAGTGGCGCTGCAAAAATTGAGAAACCGTCATTTCTGGGTAGTTTTAGATCAGATAAGCCACCTTTCGCGTGACCGTCTCGGCCTCATAGTCAGTCTAAATATTGTCCCAAGTGATGTCAGAGTTGGTGTGAAATTTCACCGCTGTAGCTCAAGTAGTTTGGAAATGGCAGCTTTCTAAAGTTTTGCAATCACGTAAGGCATTTACTTTAAGTAGAATTGCGGTAAATGTGAAGACTTGTCACAGATCCGGTAATAAATGAGATAGATGAGTGCGTCAAAGTTCTCTAAGCGTAATTTTGGACAAGGAATCCGATTTTGCCGGTACGGAGACCCTAGGTGTACTCTAAAACTACGTTTTCGTGCAAACCACATAAAAATGGTCTTTTTTCCGACTTCAGAGTTCGCCTAGGGTCTCCGTACCGGCAAAATCGGATTCCTTGTACAAAATTACGCTTAGAGAACTATGACGCACTCATCTATCTCATTTATTACCCGATCTGTGACAAGTCTTCACATTTACCGCAATTCTACTTAAAGTAAATGCCTTACGTGATTGCAAAACTTTAGAAAGCTGCCATTTCCAAACTACTTGAGCTACAGCGGTGAAATTTCACACCAACTCTGACATCACTTGGGACAATATTTAGACTGACTATGGGGCCGAGACGGTCACGCGAAAGGTGGCTTATCTGATCTCAAACTACCCAGAAATGACGGTTTTTCAATTTTTGCAGCGCCACTGCTTTTCACGCGGCGTACACAAACTTTTTATCTCGTAATATGATAGATTGGTCCTTTATCTATAAAATCCACTCATCGGATTGGCGAAAATCGATGCCGAACACCAAAACCCCAAGAAAAGTAAAAACCACTACACAACCTGAAAAACAGTCATAACATCTGTTTGGGTTGTCCTATCAACAAACGGGCACCGGATTCGTGTTCCTCGCGTGATTTTACATACGATAACACATTTTGAGCTCAATCGAGTGCATAGAGGCCTCAGAAAGGTGATTTTTCAATTTTGGCCATATTATGTGAAAAGTTGTCAGAGAAAACGAAAATTGCCCATAGAATCTGAACGGTGCATATTTCGGCTCAAAAAATTTGTGGCCTTTCTTAGACCCACAAGGACTACCTTTGACCAAAAAATGGAGGAAATCGGCATCGGTCGTGTTCCACGATCGGACTTCTTAAAAAAAATGCCTCTATGTCAAACAAAAGACCCGACCCTCGTCTAAAAATTGCTGATCAAAGCAGTGACGTCCGTCAGCGTCTAGGTTCTTCGTGTGATTCTATGCCAGAGGATTCTACACTGTTCTCAGTTCTAAATAAATGATCTATCGGTGCACGTGTGTTTACCTTCCATTGTTGTCGAGTTATGGGTTTTGATTAATATCCGGACTTTGATGTGTTTGTGCTTAGACCAAGTGTGAATGCGAACGTCTGGCCCGCAAGACAATAAGTCACTCTGGCTCGCACTGTGCACACTGAATGTTACGAACAATTTTGTACCAGACATCAGTTTTTTGTTCACACGAACTTTTCGTTCAATTTCTGTACGAAAAACTGCACATATTTCCTCTTTTTTTTTACAAAATCGCGTACAAATTTGTACAAAAAGTTCGTGTGTACAAAAAACGGTGAAATGTCTCGTACAAAGTTTGTACAAAAACATATAGTGATTGGCCAAGCGGTTCCGTGTCCGGCTCCGCGGTAACCTACACACAGGTAAATGTTTTTCCCTAAAACCACCAAAAACGTCAAAAACTGGGCCAAAAAGCAAGAAACACGCTTGATTTTAACCGCCTGAATCGATTCCAGGCGAAAAAACCACAAATCGTTGGTAAACAACGTTTTGGCAGGGGGTGGAAACCACTTACACCCCTCACCCCTTTTGAAGGGGATGGGGGGCCGCCGGCGGGACCCCGTGTTCACGGCACGATGGAGGGGTCCCTCAGGCAGCTTCACACCAAATTTGAAGTGATTCGGTCCGTTCGTTCCCGTCCGGGGCCCAAAAGACGTTAAATCGTGTCACTTACAACCCCTAAGTTTGCACCCCTGATTCTCCGTAACCAGGAGGGGCACAACATCCGCTCAGGTGCGCCGAGAAGCGCACGACCTTTCCAGGCAAGGGTGCAAACGCCGAAACCCCTGCGAACTTTAGCTTGAACAATTGCATTGGTGAGCGTGGCCACGACAACCGTAGTGAGACTCCCCACCTTCCCTAAATTTGGTATTGCAGGCGGCCGAAGCGCTACCGTCAACGGGGGTAACATGGGACACCGGGGGTAACTTGGGACAGTCTGCCCTGTACAGGTTGTTGGTGCTGCCATTCAGCGACGGGGGTTCCTAGCGTCAAACCCGCGGCAGCGTTTTGTTTCAGAGGCCTCAGGGCACGCGCGGAAAGGTAGAAAAGGTGCATAACATTACAATTTGTATATGAGAAACGGGGAACTACGAAATAGGGTTTTTGACAAAATATGTCAAACATTGACAAGTTGACCCTAGTGCAAGGAGTGAAATGCAGATTTGGCCAATTAGTCTCTCTGGGTTGTTAGATCATACACAGACAATAACGCTCGCAAAAGGGCGTTGATTATAGTTTTCCCATCTTCGGTCCAGACTTCATTTTATCAAAAATCGAAATTTTACGGGGTAACTTGGGACAGTCTTTTCCTCATGTTTCCAGCAGTCCTAGCCTTCTAAGAGTTGACTGACCCGGTCCCTGACATAACTTAAACTTCGGATTTTACGCTGATGATGGAAAGAGATGCCCTCCTCTGCAGTTTTGTCTTCTGGTAATCCATATTTTGAAATTTTCAGAAAATGCCTGGCAAATACCAGTAGTAAAGAGAGTTCCACGTAGAGCCCTATAGTCCAATATCGGTCCTACAAGAGTTCCTAGGCCTGAATTCTCGGTCTACATGTTGTGACTTAAATTTATTACATCCATTAACATCAAAAGATGCATGGGAACGTAGATAATTACCTACTGTCCCAAGTTACCCCCGGTCATGGGGTAACTTGGGACACTCTTTCGAGACCGCTTGGAAACGATGTAATCGAGGCAAAAAAAACCAGACAAGCATGAAATCATGGGGAAAGGGTCAAACTTTAACATAGTTACGATCCAATGGTCTGGGTTGAGAGTCTTGCCTCTGGCGTTCAAAAAACGTGAAAAAGTGTCCCAAGTTACCCCCGTTGACGGTAACTCATCTAGGCTTACCCATAGCCAGCCTTCAAAACGGCTTGCATTCTCATCCCTGCTAGAATCGAAAGAGGCGTACCCCCAAAAACTTTGCTGAAAATGTCTTCTATTTTATTTTATTTTTCCCATTGGCATGACAACTGGAATCAGAAGAGGCGTGCCCAAAAAAATTTGCAACTTCAAAAATGTCTATTTTTTATTTTATTTTCGCTTTGTCATGACAAGAGTTTTGCACAGTGCGTGAGTGTATCGCCCTACTGCCTGCAACCTGCTCCATATTCTTGGCGTGTACCCGATTCGTGCGCCAACACAGTTTCTGTGTTGTGTCGTCGACGCCACACCGGAAACACGCCTTTCAAACGTGTGCTTGCTCAACGCTGAAGCCTTTACAATGGCTGGCCCGCAGCAGGTAGCAGCGGCTTGTGCTTAACGCCATTGGACGCTGCGCCATGCTAAAACACTCTTGGCATGGGCGAAAGCCTACTTCATCAAGAGACTGAAGGACAGTCCCAGGCTTCCAGGGTGCAGAATCGAAATGTGAGAAGTGGCTATCAGACCACGACGGTCAGTCAATGCGGGTTCGACCCAAAGTGATTGCAAGTGACCTCTCCACGTTCCAGGAATTTGGCTCAACTGCTTGTGTTCTCAGCCCAGCTGCATTCCGTCCTCAGCAAAGCAGGGGATCAATACACTTCTTTTGCCGTAAGTTGTGGGCCAAGGGGACCACCGTGCGACCGTTGCGTGGTCTACGCTTGGCTTAGGTAGACTTGGTGCACATTTGAAATCGTAGTACCGAAGGGGTTAACGCGTACGGGGGTATTTCATGTGGATTGTGTGTTACGGCGACGTAATGCTTGAACTTTGTCACATTTAAATGGTATTACGTCCACGTAACCGTATCACGCGTCATACGGTGATTTTGTGTACAGAGTATTACCCGTTTTTAAACTGAGGAGCATTTCTCTTTAGACTGATTAGTGTACACGGCTGACTCTCATTAAGAGATGAAGATTGATGCAAACCATCGTCTTCTATACAGGCATGCTGTAGAAAAAAGTGTACATGAACGATACAATTAAATACGCCTCGCCTGTGTCATTGTATGGGGGGAACGCAGCCCTGCGTGGTTCACCCCTCGGGTAGGAGGGCTGCAAATTATTGGCTGAGCGATAGCGAAGCCCTTGCCGTGTTTGGGCGCACCAAAAACTGACTGGTCGTGCGTCTGTCTGTTTGTACTCACCAACGATTCTCAGCAAGTAAATGGTCTTTAGCTCTCATATTTCGCATTTAACATCCCCTTAGTTTCTCCCACCACGAGTTTGTTTCAAATCATTGATTAGTATCGTTTGAAATATTCAAAACATCTTTTTGAATCAGGTCATTAGCATGGTAAGGTTGGCAGCAGTCAGCCAGCAGTTACCAATTTCTCATACTTGCGGCTGCGGCTCTCAAATACGGGACAGAAGCTAAACAGCAAATAAAACAAAAAAAAAAGCAGAAGGGTTTGGAAATGAGATCGGCCTTAGTTTTCCAACATTCTAGAACTAGGTAGTACCGTATGGTACAGTCGGCTTCGCCGTAACTTTACCGCTAGGGCCTTCGCCTTTCAAATCGTGACGCCAGCGTTTAGAATTGATACCTGCAAGATTCCTGCAAGCAGGTCAACCCGTCATAACCTAACTGGGCCAACCCATCCTAACCTAACCTAACGGGGTCGTGACAGATCTTACGCTACTCGCGACAGATCTTACCCTACTCGCAGCAGATACCGCAGATATCGCCTATCGCAACAAACAAAAGTCGCAAAAGGAGTGAGGGAATGGGGTCGCTGGGTTCGCATTGTTTTTTTCCTGGGAATACTGTTTCTTGCGTATAAGCGATTACGTGCACTGTGCACGAACACGAAATACCAACATCCCGGCATTGGAAACGTTACTTGTATCTGATCAAAAATTGTATATATTAACCGCTCGAAAATAAATTCCCTTGTATATTATCGATTATTATATCCGAATAAATGCATTCCAAACCAACACTACAATGTTTTCGCCACAAGCTTTATACCTCATGAGAATCTTTTCACATTTCACGTTGCCCCCACCATCATGCGGCGCACCGAAAACGATCTCCTCGGCCAGCCACCGCCGAGTCTGCGTGCAGTAGGCTTCTATACTTTAGTATTTTTTTTTATTGTTTGGTTGCGAAGCCAATGATTAAAACCCCTTTGGAGTACCAACACAGCGAAATATGGAGAATGGAAGTGAAAATGATTTACGTCTTTCGTTCCCCTCGCCCCCCTCCCCCGTTAGAGGGGAATCTTCTTCAGGTCAGTGCACTTTGACAGATCATTGTAACAAGAATGTTTTTATTTTGACCTTTTGTATTGTGGGCATCTACTTATTTCATTTTCTATAGTGTCATCCTCTTTTTTAAAATTTCATAGTAGAGGAAATCAGGGAAATGCATAAATAACTTGTGTTGAAATTAGCAGCAAATTAGTTTGGACTCGAGTAATACATTCTATTGAAATGCTGCAAGCTGACAAGAGTGCAAAAGTACTATCATGTGTTTATTTATAGAATCAATGTATGGTTGTGTATATTTAATCCTAATAGAGTTTGAATAGATATTGGCTTCAAAGAGACGACTCAGGTTTTGAGCGGTGAGTGAATTAGTGAATGGATTTTATGAGACGATTCCTTTAACTTCACTGAATTTAATATAACTGGTACTACTCAGTATTGTATACCTAAGTAAGATAAATTATGTTGGTTCATTAAGCCTTGGGTAGCCTTGGCATTGGACTCTATGTGACGAATCACTGGATTTGACAATAATTGGTCCCCGTTAACTGGTTCAGATCAGCCTACCCTAAACCGACTCTCTTAATATTAACTGTGATAACGTATTCCAATCAATATTGTTTTATTCACTGGTTCACAATGAAAGAATGACAAAATGTTTCATAGATATTACTTATAAAATTTTGAATTCATCAGTTAAGAAAAAAGAGATTTCGAATAGTGACCCAATCATACGAGTAACCAATTAAGCGATTCAATGCTGGCAATTGAATGTTATTCGACTGAGGGATTCGCATTGGTGTGGCATCAGGGAATTGGTGACGACAGAGGGTGCTTCATGAAGACAAATAGTAACGATATACAGAAATTGAGTCTTAGGTATTGTATGTAGTTTTCAGAGTACTAGCCACAAAAACTACATTTATTTCAATGCCAATCCTACATTTTCATCTTCAGCTACACAATTTGTGGCCAAACTTTCCAAGTTGAGATTTATGTGTTTCCCTGTAGTTTTCAGTGCGCTGTCCTCAATATTGACCTTTAAATTGTCCTCAGATCCAAAATTTATACCGATTTGGGGTCAAATTTTTTTAATTGAATTGTACATTGATTCTTGCAGTTTTTTAATTGCTGATACCGAAAATCACTTCTATTTTAACACCAGACCTATATTTTCATCCCATATTAGGTCATTTTGGACCAAAATTTTCAAGTCGAGTTTTATGCTGTTTCCTGCAGTTTTTGGTGTGCTGAACCCAAAAATGACTTCCAAAATTTTCCCAGACTCACACTTAACCGAATTTCGACCAATTTTGGACCAAAATTTTTAAATCGAGTTTGACGTTGATCCCAGCAGTTTTTGGTGTGCTGATAACGAAAATCACTTCCATTTCGACTCCAGACTTATATTTTCACCCCAAATTAGGTCATTTTGAACTAAAATTTTCAAGTCGAGTTTTATATTGCTTCCTGCAGTTTTTGGTGTGCTGAACTCAAAAATGACCTTCAAACTTTTCCCAGACTCACATTTAGCCGAATTTTGACCAATTTTGGACTAAAATTTTTTAATCGAGTTTGACATTGATCCCAGCAGTTTTTGGTGTGCTGATAACGAATATCACTTTCATTTGTACCCCTGGTCTAAAGTTCACTCAATAATGAGCCCATAAGATGCACATTTCGCCACTCAAGCAAAGTCCAAGGGGTACAAACTATGTCAATTCGCATCGCTCAGCCACACTACGCGCCCACACTAAACGGCGCGTACCCCTAGTAGGGTGTACCAAAATAAGCGTCAACTTAGGGCTGTGCGATATCACGATATGTCGAGGTCAATACGATATCACCCTTATATCAAAAAGTCGCTTATCTCGACTCAAGCGCCCCCCCCTCTAAAAACAAAACAGGTCGGCCCTTGTTGGAGATTAGATCCCGTTCAAGTTGATCTTGTTCTTTCCTGGGTGCCACATTTGTGCTCCACATCGCTCCCCACTCGCACCAATGAGACGAATTTCAATTCAATTCCAGGGCCCTTTCTTGGCTTATGTTCATCGGCTGTACCCGTGCCAAACGAATGGTTCAACAACCCTCCACATCCGCGCCAGTCACTTCAACCCAGCCAAACCGTGGATGAAGCAGACACTCACGGGGAACACCAGTATGACATTCACCATCACGGACGTTTATTGGGTGAGCACGAGCACCTCGCACGTTATACGTGAAATGATGTTTGAACCTTTCCAGAGGAACGGTGACTTACATACTGAAGACAAGGTCATGCAAACACGTACGTTACTTCGTCAGTAAAAATAAGTCCTTGGCCAATCGTTACAGATTCTTCTCACGACGATGTAACTTCTACATGAAGTACGTTAAGAAAGGTACCAACCCCGTGTGACCTACCGTGGGTCTCTTCATCACTCGGACACACCCCGATTTATATGTTTGGTCGATGGTGTCCTTTTCTTACCCTGCACTTTTCTTCACCACCTTACCCCGAACCAACCTGGCCCTTTTGATCCGATAAGCGCCTGGAAGGTAGGCGAAAATAAACGCTTTGCGTCTGTAAACAAGTGAAAATCAGTGTACGCGGGTGTAAATGTCATTAAAAAGGCACCAAAAGTCAAAAAGTCACAAAAGCTAAAAAGTAGCAGCAAAGCCGCCATAAAGTCTAGAAAAGTTCACGAGCTAGCGTTTAACAATGCTAAAAGCCAGTAAATGCTGGTAAATAAGTTATTTTCAGTCAAAAAATTCATTTTGTCAAAAGAATCAATAAGAGGTCAGAACAGTCATTAATGAGTCAAAAAGTTCCAAGGCAAAACAGTCGCTAAAATTCAGAAAAGATAGTCAAAAAGTCAAAAAATTATCAAAAAGTCACTTTTGACTTTAAGTCAGTGTACGCTCGCTGGCTCGGTGGGTGACTCCTTGGTAAGTAGGCAAGAAGTGCTACTTCACCCCTCCCTCATGTCGGCTTTGGATCCATAGTGATAAGATTGTTACTGTCGGACAGGGGCGTGCACGCATGGACGTCCGCTCCAACAACCAATGGAAAGAGAACGCCTTCGTCTTCAAGCTGCCCGGAGGCGCTTGCTCGATCCTGAGAGGCAACATCCCATCGCTGTTCCGCATCCTCTACAACGGCGTTGCGGCGGACCCCAAGTCACCCTGTCGGATACCAAAAGTACGTCAGAGGCTGTCGACTTCATATATATCCAATTTAAAAAAAGCAAAACGTCAAGAATTTTATCAGGGATCCTTCACTTACCTCATAAGGGCATCATAACGTTATCAGAAGCGTTATTACCCTTAACTTCTAACATCTTTTCAAAAGGGTAGGTTATTTTTTTAATGTCTCGAATTTGTGTGGATATACTTTTGCAAGTACTTTCATAAGTCCGTACCCTTATCCTTTAGCAAACATTGTCTTATGTTACGTTATGAAAGCAGTGTTAGTTAAATGTTAAGTTTAGTTAAGGATCCCTGAATTTTAAGATGTCAGACTCATGTAGAGTGCATGAATTGATCCCAGCTATTTGAGTCGAGATGCGGATCGATAAAAATACCGATCACTGAACCTCGTGGCCATTGTTCGTCGAGACGCTCGGACTGCCTGGACGGAGTAGAAGACAATCAAAACAGAACGGGACGCCTCGCGGACGTTCTACTCGGTTCAAAGCACTCCGGGGCGGGTCTCTGACTATCTCTGACTGCAAAGACATCGTTTATTTGACAACTGGAATACTGCTTTTCACGAGGAGAACGTTTGGTGTACGTTTCCTTGAAATATCGTGAAATAACTTAGTTTGAAGTAACGGTGTTTAAAATTATTCGAAGTCGTTATCCCCTAGACATATTAAATAGACCATTCTAGTCGTGGCCAAGTGAAGAACAAGAAGAATCACAAAAGAGAAATTTTTAGCACTGTTAACTGTAAATGTTTATGACTCTTTGCTTGGAAGAAGTTAGTGAGAATATTTTACAGTAAAGACAACATGTTTTCAGTGAAAATATGCACTTTAAATGCCCTAAATGAGTCTTTTGTGATTCTTCTTGTTCTTCACTCGGCCACGACTAGAATGGTCTATTAGTGCCTCAGTTGAGATAAGGAGCGCCCCGTCCTTTCCCCCCAATTTTCCTGGTTTTATGGATCAGTGTCTGCATCGCCGCGTGCCGACGCGAAATGCATGAATGGAACGACCTTCAGAAAAGGCCCTCGAAACATTCAGACTCTGTGAACACCGCCATTAGCTGTCGAACAAGAGTCACCAGCCATTGTTTTGTTTTTATAGTCTGGCCCCCAGTTCAACTGGCATGTTCCACTCTATGTAAAATGTCCCGCCCTGAACCAACGTCTGACTTCGTTTGAGGAGCGATGGGGCAACGAGATCAGTGCTTCGTCCTAGTACTGTTTTTCATCCAGTCGAATGATTGTCACTCGAGTTTAAAGTAACATTTATAGCTCGGCCCTAAAGGTCGCTGGCGATGATGATGAGTCGTGACAAAGCGGACGTGGCCAAGCGTTTTAGGAATACGAGTGATACTCATATTTGTTCCAGTTTGAATTCGCATTTGTTTCTCATGTTTGTTTGACTCTTTCCAGGGCGACGTAGTTATATCCCTGTCGTGACCAATTTTATTTTTTTCAGGGCACCTACGAGTTCGAGGACGAGCCTGTCGATTGGGTGTTTCCCAATGCGCCAATCATGCCCTATGGATTTTATCGCTTTTTGGGATCATTCGGGCTAGGCTCCACGATAGAGACGTGTATTACAGCTGAATGTCAAATTATTCCTAAAGTAGTTTAGGAATGCAGACTTAAACATCGTAGGTCTGGAATAATTCGTTTACAATTTTCAAAAAGACTCTGGAAGCGTAAAAATAATTAACTGCACGGATCGTAGTAGACTGCCGAAACAGTTTTGTTTCAGAACTCAATTCCGTTAACTTCCGAGTGGTCTGAAATTTCAGAACTTTGGGATACTGCTGTCAGTATAAGTGTCCCCACAAAGCGGGAGTCACGTTTCAGAACAATCACCACTTAGTCTATACTGTTATGCAACGGATGTGTACAGACAAAAGTCTACCGAGCATCGCTTAATATTATAAAGAAATCGTACGCATTGCCTCGTAGTACGAAGCAAAATCCACCGTAAAATGAACCATTTCTTCATGATTCGAAGCATGTGGGTTGGTTCGCCGAGATGTGGGAATTTGAGGCACGGGATTTCCAAGATTTTAATGTGCGGCTTTTCGGATGAAATTTTGCAGGCTCATTCAAGATGGCTCTAGAATGGTCCCCAAGAAATATCAAAGCTTAATTCGTTCCAGTTTTGTTTCAAATGGCTTAACACTAGAACCGCTGACTTTTTTGTATACCTAGAACCGCGGAAGGGGTCATTTTGACCCCCCATTTTTTCTGCCCGTATTTTTTTAATTTTGCTCATGTTATGGGCCCTTAACGATGTAAAATGATGTATCTGAGATCAACAATGATATTTTGAGTTATATAGGGCCTTAAAAGGCCAAAGGTAGGCAACCCGCATGGCACGAATAACCTGTTTTGCTCCTTTTCTACCATTTTTGGCCCGTCCCTTGTATTTTTTTTGTTAAAAAAATGACGGAGGGACGGAGTATGATCCATGCTGTGCGTCCGTCCGTTCGTTCGTCCGTCTGAGGACTTCCCCTGGTCCGATCTTGACCAAATTTGATATGCAGCCTACTTGGGTGACCCTTCAGAACCGCCCGCTGGCAGCAAATCCGATTCGAGCCCCGGGGGCGCTGCTGCAGGTGCATCATGGTCTACCTTAGGTCGAGGAGGATTTCGGCAACGGATGCAGCTAGAAGAGCATGAAGGGAAATTTTTTGAATCGGGGTGACGAGACAAAACCAACGGTGCCAGTTTCAAGCGGATCGGAGAGGTTTGAACCCGGGTTCGAATCCCAGTGGGGTACATTAAGAACATTCCTTTTATTCTAGTTTTTGCATTGTTGTTGATGTGTATGAGGGTGCTGATCTAATTTATGCTGATCTAAAAACATCTATTTTGACCCCAGACTCAGGTTCAAGTCCCGTCCGGATTAAAAATAGGCGAAATTAGTACATTCCTCAATGTACGGGACGGGCCAAAGTTGCCGATGTATATCGCAACTTTTCCTGTTATTCAGTGTAGGGATGGGTACTAAGTGACGTAGATTTTTTACCAGATGATACCTTTACACTTGAAACGTATCTGAAACTATTAGACACATAAAGGTGACACCGTGCTTTTACTGCTGAGTCCAGAAACCAAGCGGTATCCTAACAATAATACAATAATATTAGGGTGGTGGCTGCTGGGCGGGATCGTGAGTGTCGCATGGCAGGCAGTCTGCTCGAAACATCGACAATACCTCGCGGGTACAGCGCGAGCGGCACCGGCCAACAATCCCCTGCCCCGGGTACAGCGCGCACAGAACAGCAACAATGTCTCACGGCTCGGCCGGTGCAAGCCACAGCTCGGTTCGCACCGACATTGGCCAGCTCGCTTAGGTCCATGTATATTATTGGGCTATCTATTTATTTCATACACAGTTATAAAAAAGCCCGAACTACTACCTCGAAGAAAACCAAACGAGTATCATCTGCTTTCATTAACGTTCGTTGAATGAGATTTTTTTATTCTACAGATACCTTACGCGGAACACACGCATCTTGCATACATTTAGGCGTTTGCTCGGCGGGTCGCCTATGCCGTTGGCCAAGTTAGGTCTCCCAGGGCAGTCCATAGCACTCCCAAATGATTCACCACTAAAATTGACGCTTGTGACGCTTTTTTATTGCCAAAATTCGAACTTCCTGAGTGCAAACAATACAGGGGTCAAAATGACCCCTGCCGCGGTTCTAGGTATATTGTTGTCCTACGCCCACAAAAATGGTCCGACAGAGCCGAAATTTCACTCAAATGTTCTTTTCTTGTATTTATAAAAAGTCAAAAAGCCCCAAATCCGAGAAGAAAAAAATAAGTCAGAAAAATTTATGACGAAAATTAAAAGGGGTCAAATTGACCCCCTCCGCGGTTCTAGTGTTAAATGTTGAAAGCGTACTTTGGGTCGATGTTTGTTACACGCGCGTCGACGTTTGTTACACGCGCGTCGACGTTCGTTACATTCAAGTGGTTTGGGTGGAATTTCAAAGTGGACAAAACTGACATCTATTTATAGAAATCGATTCGTCTGATCAGGACAAACAAAAAATCCTAACATATGTAATAGGCTTGGATGCGAAATAAACAAGTATTTAAGCTTCAAAAGAGCAGTAACAGGCGTCGACGCCGGGGTCCTGGCTGATTACATCCGATTACATCATTACACTTTATAAAAACCATCTATTTCGCAAGGAAATGCCAAATTTGCTTGTACGTAACAGACGCTGTATGGTGTAAATAGGTCAAATGAAGCGGCAAACATGACCTTGTCCCAGTATTTGAAAATGTTTATCCGAGGGAGGTCGAAATTACGCGTTGGCGATTACAGGTTTATGATAGCGAGTTACGGCAAAGCGACTGTTTTGAACCTACCATACTCCTGTAAAAGTATTTCCACCGTTGCAGTTTTGTTTAATATCAATTTCGAAGCCGAATAGGGTTGGCGCTTGGTTCGGTGCAGGCACAAAGCACGCTTAGAGCCGCGAAATACAAATGCCGGTAGCAAGTGACGCAATTTGCGGACAAAACTTATCCTCCACTTTACGAACGAACGAATCGACTCGAGGTTTCGGGACTTAGGTTAAAATGTAGGTTAAAGTGTCCACTCTCGAAAACACAAAAAACTTTGGGTGGTTTAACGGCGTTATAAGGAATTAGATTTCACATTGTGTTTCAATCGGGGATTCGGACACCGACAAAACGGCCATTTTTGTACCTTTCCGGCGGTATTTGTGGTACAAGCAGTCAAAAATTTTGTCTGAAAACATGTACATGCCTTTCTCTGAAGGTGTTTTGTTGTTACATAAGGGGTATTTGCTGATAGGAAGTCCGTGCAGGTGGTAATTTAGCTAAACATCTTTGATTTTAAAATTTCCACATTTTGACGAACCAACCCACATGTACAATGCCTTCATTTCCTTCATAGTTACGAAGCAAAGGCTTCGCAGACTTTAGTGAGTTTGACGGCATATTTGTTAGATTGTGAATTTTGTTACGTTTGTTTTTGAATGCGATGTCACATGCGTTTGAACGCGACATGCCTGTTAATTGAGGATGTCACATTTGTTTGAACGTGACTCGGTCGTTAAATGAGGATGTCACATCCGTTTGAACATGGACGAACCTTCGAATGCATGTGACCCCACATTGAAACGAATTGACCAAAACTCTTATTCTCGAATAAGAAGTCGCATTCGTTGATTTACGGAGCAATGTGTGATGTCTCTTCAGAATTTCTATCAAGTTTCATTGTTCAGATGAAATGTTATTCAAACAGGTCAGCGTAAGGATCAATATTACAGCGAATGGTGCCACTCTATGTAAAGGCACACCTAGTTTATGTCTGTGAAATAAAGGTTTCGAAGATAAAATCCTATTTCCCTAAACACCTCAAACCTATCATGTTTTGACAATTGAGAAAGCAGTTTGAGAATTAAATATGACATGAACTTCAGGTTTCATCTGTGATCAGCTCATACAGAGGGTGTCGTGGGACACGCAGTACTCGCGGGAGTGCTACTGACCATGGAGTCCTGCCACCGTAGCAAAGACTACCGTGAGGTCCACTGTAAAGGCTGCCGCAACGACACCTCCTTCAGACCTGCAGCAACCCCTCCCAACAAACATGTGCAAGGTCCGTCGCACCCCCACTAGACCCGGGACACCCCTTCGTGAGGTCCTGTGATCCCTCAGTCGCAGCGGGTAAGGGAGGGTGGGGCACCATGACCACTGGGGCACCATGACCACCCCCCTCGCTCTCGGGAACTACTTTGCCGACGGCAACCGGTCGACCGGACTTTCGAGAGAATAGAATTCTAACTATTTTCAGCCAGAGCCCTACCTTCTAGCTTCAAGGGTACGACCATAGCACCTCGCCAAAATTTTTGTTACAGCGTTTTGGCTAAATTGGGCGTTTTTCAAATCTGGGATATTTTTTCTCACTCTCACATTTGAGAAGATAGGTTCGATGTCTTAGGTTTTTCTCAAAATGTCGGCTCTTCGGCAAAATATCCAACATCACATTTAATTCTAAGTAGTTGTTTGCTTGCTCGGGGAGCCTTAGAGTCGTAAACTGCACTGTGGGGCACCATGACCACTTTTTAGTGGGGCACCATGACCACACATATTTGAGTGTTTTTTCTCATATTTTGGCCTGATAATGATTTATTTTCGTCGAAAATTTGCTTTTTGCTTCTGAAAATGTATAGAGGTTGAATAATTGCTGCAGAATAGATAGTTTTATCACAAATTTGTGATAATTTGTGAATCACCAAAATGATTAAGAATGGTTCTGAAACTGAGACTTGAAATGGTGGTTTCTCTTGCACTAAATGAGCTCCAAACCGCAAAAGTTGGCCGCGAAGGCGATCCGTGGCTACTTTGCACCAAGATGGCTCTGGCATTATGAGAAACAGCATTTAATTCACTTGTTTGCAGTGTAGTTACCGCGATAATTTTCTTAAAATTTACCAAATTGAAATCTGCATACGAATTTGGACTCGCCTTAGCAAGACAAACATAAAATGTTAACACATGTCATAGCTTTGGATGTGAAATTTGAAAGCCTTAGAGCGTTAACTGTTTTAAACCGTCCATTTCAAGGCATCTTAGAACGTTTGATACTTCGAAGGTTTTTACAGTGTTTTTTAGTTTAGTTGACTGGCCTGATGGTAATGACAGCGATATAAACAATTTCAATGAGAATACTGGTAGAAAGTACACTTTTTTGGGCCAAAAAATTACTATGGTCATGGTGCCCCACGGGGTGGTCATGGTGCCCCATAGGTGGGGCACCATGACCACTTTGCGTTTTATTTTCCAAAGTGTTCTGTGAGCCTGCCGTGCATTGCAGACAAGTTCCAATGGGTGGAAGAGGTCCTTGGAGGTCCAAAGAATCCCCTCATGCTAGAAACTTAACTGTTCGAACCACACGGTGGAGTAGAGGGAGGCACAAAAAAAAAGTGGTCATGGTGCCCCACCCTCCCTTATTTACCTCACAGGCGCGAAGGCCGACTACAAAACACCAATTCGACGCGTTCTAATAGAATAATCCTAACTGTCAGAGCAGATCCATGACAATCCTAACTGTCAGCACTCTGAGAAAAAATGACGGTAAATCCTGGATAATTTTTTTGCCAAACTTTACCGTACTTCAAAAACCAGTATCCACCGTACAGTCTACAGTATTTTCCGTACTTGTTTTACAAAATATTCCGTAGTTTTTTTATCAGTAGTTACCGTTCTTTCGTACAGTGCATGCCGCAGGAAGGACCAGATCTGGTCCCAACAAAGGCCGCTCCCAAGAATTGTCCACATCAGGATCTTGAAAAAAGGGGGTCGACCGACTGAAAAATTTTATTGCACCTTTCGATAGGTCTCGTCAAGACCTTTTCAACGAGTGGTCGGAAGGGGGGTCCAGGAGTCCGACTTCAGCTGTTATGTACATCAGAATCTTGAAAAACGAGGGTCGACCGACTGAAATAAATTATAGCAGTTTTTGTACGGGTACGGGATTGCCGGGTAAAAAAGTACGGGATTCCTTGTAAAAAAAGTACGGTGTTGCCTGTAAAAAAAGTACGGTATTGCCTGTAAAAAACGACGGTTTTGCCTGTTAAAAAAAGCACGGTGATGTCTGGAGTAATCAGTACAGGATTTACCGTGATCTTTTCTCGCAGTGAGAGCAGATCCAAGACAATCCTAACTGCCAGAGCTGATCCAAAACAATCCTGTCAGTGCAGATTGAGATCCTAACTTCAGAGGTACCTAAAAGTGTTCTGGAAGTATCTTCACTGCTAATCAGAGAATCTCGATATATCTGAAATACTATGTCCACGTATAAGGATAAAACTTTTTAAAAAGCCCTTTGGCGAGTAATTTTATGAAGCATGTTGGCGTCACGGACTTCGAGAAAACACCGCTTTTCACGTGATGTGCAGTTAAGATAGTTCTGCATTGACACAAAAGTTAGGATTGTCTTGGATCTGCTCTGACAGTTAGGATTGTCTTGGATCGGCTCTGACAGGATTGTCTTGGATCTGCTCTGACAGTTAGGATTGTCTTGGATCTGGCCTGGCAGTTAGGATAATTCTATTAGGACGTGCGTCGAATTGTCTCCGTACCCGGACGTTGGCGCCCACTTGTGCATTTGTGAAAATCTAGTCTTCACAGTATTTAAGAAAATAAAAATATTAATTTCTGAGTTACGAAAAGGTGGACAGTGGTCATGGTGGAACCTTGTTTAATGGCCCATACTCACGGGAACAAGTGCAAGAATTTTAATAAATATTGTATTTCTTCCCCGAGCTTACTGAAAAAGCCACCGCATCGGCCTGAAACCAAGTCCCACAGAAGATGGATATTCATCAATGCAAGGCCAAGGCACAGAAATCAAGAGTTCATTCCTTAATATTGACTCTATTGATCAAGACAGCAGTGTTCAGACACGACCATAACTTTTCTTGCTCGTCTGTTATGGTAACCTCGACTGTCCAGACGTTGCCAGCTATGTCAATGTGTGCGATGGTTTCTCCGAGCGACACATCAATGGTTGCGTTTTCAACCTTGTAGAGACCCTAAAAGTCGAAGAAAGGATATTTTTGGTTACAAACAATAGGGCAGTCCGGGGCAGTCACTGACTCATGCAAATGGTCATACATTCCATCCAGCCCTGCACAGAAAATAGTCTACCGAACATCGCTTTGCAATACGAAGGAAACGAAGGCGTAGTAGAATACAGCAAACCTAATTGTCTACTAATTACACAACAAATGCATGCTTTGGAGTTACACACAGACGCAAGCTCGGCCAAGTTGAAACGTGCAAATGCGTCGCACGGAGTGGTAATAAAGCACGCATTTGTAAGGGTGAATTTGCTTCGTATTCAGTTAGGTTTGGAGTGAGTCTCGAGATTCGTTCACCTTACTGATGGGGCACTCGAGATCCGGTTGAAAAGCCCGCATGAAGCTGCTCCACATCATGCCCTTGGCCCTGACCATGCCGCAGAGGTTGCCCCTGAAAGGCCACGTGGCGAAGTACTCGCACGTGTTGGAAGAAACGGCCTCGCGGCACTTGCTCAGCACCACTTTCATCTGAACGAGGAAACACGACACATCACACTTTTAAAATCAACGTTATTTCTGTGATGAATTTTAGATGACGTATGAAGAACTTTTCTATCTAACCTTTCTGTACGAGACACAAAAATCGCGGCCCGTCAATTTTTTTTTTTTTAAATCAGCCGTGACGCCGAATTGCCATGACATGAGTCATGCCGTCATTTTACAGTCATTTTAGAAGTAACCCCTGCACCTCGCTCGCGCATGGCTTCACGCGCTCCCTAGGCCGTTGCCACCCCCTGACGTAATATTGAATGATTTTTGGCACTTGATAAATCAAATATGTAAAAATGGAAAACTGATGACGGAAATGGACTCGCCTCAACG